TGGAAAATTCAATGTCGGGATAATATCTCGCATTTATCAAGGTGTATTTTCATAATTTTCCGGTAGATAATTGTTAGTTTACTAGGCAAGCTCTTGTTGCAGGGATGACTTTAGCAATTCAGCCCTGATGATGGCTTTTATGCTATCTAATTGCTCTAGTTTTTTTCTGCCCTCCGCTAGTAGTCTAAGGGGCAATCAATTCCTTTTGACAAGGGAATTACAGTTAAAAGTTCATTTTATTGCTCAATTGGCAAGATTTGTCTGGTGAGTTCGTGTTTGAATTTTTTAAGAAATGTTACGTGAATATTCGTAGTCGCAATAGGTATAGTTTATCGGAGTTATATGCCTTGATTTTTTGGTGTTCTTAAACTCCTAATTAAGTTGGTGTTCACAAGGATAATTAAATCACCACACGAATTAATGGGTTGCAAAGGCATTGCGGCTTTTTACTAGAAAGCAAGGAAAAAAAGATTTTTTCCCATTGGGGAATATTGTCGAACACCTGGCGTGTGTCAGAGGCCAGTCAAAAGAAAGAAAACTAGAACTAAACTAAAAAGCTAAAACTAAAGCCCGTCCTTTGCTTCTGTACGTTGTCCCCTTTTAAAGAAACAAAAGAAAGAAGACTAAAAGCTATCTAGATGGTCCCCACACATGTGGACAAAGCCTCCAAAGTACTTCTTGTTCCAAGTCTCTTTACGTTGCTTACTTTGAAGAGTCCAAATGACTAAATGCCTTTCACTAGCTTGTGGTCCCCACTAATTCAAGGGCCAAGGGTTGAAGCCCTTAGAAGTCTCCATTTTCTCCATAAAGTCTCTCCTTTTTGGTAGTTTTCTGTTTCATCCCTGAAATTAAGTCCAAATACCAAATATAAGTAGATATCAACAATTAATATAATATTTGGCAGGGATAAAAAGGGAAATTAATACTAAAATTACTAACAGATGATTCCCTATCAGTGTTCACAAGGATAATGATGGTATTCATGAAAAAATATTTTAAGATATTAGTGCGAGCAATTTTGAATATGGTATTTACATGTTAAATTTTACGGATGATTGAGGCCTCAATAATGGATCCCTTGAAGACCTATGCTACGTGTCTATTTTTTTTTTTAAAAATGTTTAGAAGTGGCTTTGAAACAATCTACAGTAGAGTTGCTGTATTGCAACTAGAGAAATCATTAATTCTATTCTATACAAATAAAGTGTGAATAAATTCACACAAAAAAGTGTGGAATGCTTTAGGGTATTGTTTTTATGTACTGTCAATGTATACTCATACGATATTTTTTACGCATTGTCAATGTTCAACATGGACACATGTACAAATTTTTGTTTCTGTAAATACTACAATAGCTAGTGCCTCTTCAAAAAAAAAAAAAAAAGAAACGGAGAAAGGCTTGAAATTCTTTTCTAGGTTGTGTGTTCTTTGATTTTATAAATCAAAAAAAAAAAAAAAAGTACAACGTCCAACCTAACATCCATGTGCCTTGTACTCTTTCTTTTGTACCTAAATTAATTCCATCCTGTTGTCCTCAAAGGAAATACGTGGTTAGAATTTCATTTGGGTAAATAGCAAAACAAATAATGCATTTTTCTAATGGGTTATTGCTTAATATCTGGCTTGTGGCGCCTGCTGCCTTCCTTATAGTTGTTTATCCACAAATTTTGTCAACCCAAAATGAAGGGAGCAATGTCAATTCTCTTCCTTCTCAGCCATCTCTTAGTTATTTCTAGATTCGTGAATGTTGTATCAAATGGGAAGACAAAAAAAAAGTAAACGGAATTATTTAGTCAATAGCTATTCTTTAATTTGAAATGACGTGTGTTAATGATAGAAGATTAAGAAAAAAAAATGTTATCATTAGCCTGTGGACTGGGCAAATGGCCTAAGGCATTATAGTATTTGGGTTGGTATCTTGCCAGTGTTTGCATCATTTTAATAATCTTATAGTCTTTTCTCTTCTTCTTGGAAGCAACTGGATTAATAAACTAATCTTCTACATTGTTTGCTCCTAGTTATCTTCAGTCGCGATATTGAGCAATACCATTACAATTGATTGGATGTAAGTCAATCTTCAATTGCAGTTCACTGAATAAAATGTAGAGAATTACCCTTTGTAGTTTATAGATGATGAAAGACAAATTTCATGATGAAGTGCTATACACACTGAGCCTATACACTGATTTTGTGCAAAGATAGTGATTCTTCCTTATGTGTATTTGTATGTTGTACTTGGGAGAGAATCAATTTTGTGGGAATGCATTTTTTCACTAGGAATGCATTTTCAAGGCAGGCTGGGGATTTTTTTCCTTTTTTTTTTTTTAATGTAAAGTTCTTGAAGGACACAGGTTCGGGTTGAATACATTAAGCAAGACTTTGTTTGAACGTGTATGGAACTGCTAATTGGTAATGCACAACAAATTGTCCATGGAAACTCTCTCTTGCTTGCAATCATAAGTCAGGTAAATTGCCCAACTGGAGCCATCATGGGTACATCCTTGGAAAAATGATAAAATGTGATAAAAGCATACACCAGTCTATCTCTTTCCTTTTTCATCCACAATCGCAAAATCATTCAACTATGCTAGTGTTTGTACTTTAGCATCCACTCCTACATGTCCCTTACCAGTACAAGTTGGATCAGTTAGTAATATCGTGCCACCTCCTTATAAAAAATCGTATGTTTGAATTCTGCTATCTATATGATGATCGTATTGGTGAGCAATGTGTAAGAACTCCTATAAATGACTTATAATCTGGTAGACTTACCCCTATCCATGGCCATGTTCACCATTCAAATTTTTTATTATTAAAAAAAAAATCTTACATGCCGCATGTTCCAGTTGGTTATACACGCAGGATGCACTGAACATCCATATGTATGTATACCAAAAAAATATACCTCTCGTAAGTGTAGGCTAACTTCTACTTATATATATATAATTATATAATTATATATATAGATTAAAATACATAAATTAATGTATACTTAGGGTCCGTTTGTTTCGGGTGAAAATGTTTTTCAGGAAAATATTTTCCTAATTTCTCGTGTTTGGTTGCACAAAAGTTACTGAAAACATTTTCCTATGTAAAATATTTTCACTCATCTTATGGAAAACAACTTCCCTTCCAAACTTACTGAAGTTGTTTTCCGAAATGCATACATCCCGCTTGTAGTATGTTCCAAACTTATTGAAAACATCTTGTAGTATGTTCTTTTTTTTTTTTTTTAGTGTAAACAGGAGGACTCGAACCCAAGACCTCTTTCTTACACTCCCTCCCCCGTACCACCCAACCCTCCCCCTAGTATATTCAAAATAAAAAAAAACCTCATCCTGCTCATCCTATGCTAGTAATTAATTATGTATAATAGGGACATTCTTTTCTAGAGAAACTTTCAGCAGTGAAAGTGCAAGATATATGTCACAATAAGCATTGCATGTGATTGATATTTGACACTAAATGGCCAACAATTTGTTTATTGCTTAAGGAGATATTTTTTATTCATATATACATTTCCCCAAGATTTTTTAAAGTTAAACAATGAGATAAATTTTCTTATTTTGCATGGGAAGAAGTATGTAGTTATAATGTGTAGAAAGTAAAGATAGAGATAAAAGTGAAAATATTTCAAAAGTTAAACAAACACCAGAAAAATGAAGTAAGAAAATATTTTCAATAAGCTAACCAAACACCTGAAAATGATGAAAGGGAAATGATTTTCATGAAAAATTACTTCCACGGAAAATATTTTCCCAAGGAAAACATTTTACTTTCAACCAAACAGACCCTTAGTGCAATCATTTTTGCTTAGTAATTCCCTCATATGTCCTTTCCCTAATACTAGTTTTAGTGTTGTTTTTATTACTCTGAAAATAATTAGTAGTATATTTATTGACAAAGATGTACATTAAATGTGAGCACGGCAATGTAGGACAATCACAGAAGAAAAATGAACATTATTTTAGGATAGAAGGAATAACTATTTACTGCTTTAGTATTATAATAATTCCCTCAGTTCCATTTTAATAGTCTTGTTTTTCATTTTTATCTATCCCAAATTATAATTCACTTTCTAATTGAAAAATATAATTAATTTTTAATTTCTTTAAATACTCTTATTCAACTTATTTTGTTATCAGTGAGCCTAACCTATCCTATTCAATAATTGCTCCAATCGGGTCTCAGACGGAATGGAAGATACAACAATCATGAAGATAAAATATTTCTTGATACATTTTTTAACAGGATACCGTATATATTTTATAAAAAATAGTTTCTACTGAGAACCATATACGTTTCTACTGAACGATATTATATATTCTTCAAAATTATGATTTTCCTATTTTTGTAGCCTGAGACCACCAAATAAGCGTGCCCGGCCCCAAAGAGGAATGGGGAGAGGTAGGGTTTGGTTTAGACCCATTATTATATACCTTTGAGGTTTATGTTAGCTAATTGCTGTCCTCCTAGACAGTAGTCCATCGTACAAACAATTCGTTTTGACAAGAGAATCACAGTTAAAAGTCCACCATATTTCTCAATTGGTAGGATAATTTGTCTGGTGAGTTTGTGCATGGACCTTTAGCAAATGTGACCTGGAGTTTTACGAAGAATTGTTACCTTATTATTGTCTGGGGCTTTGGGTGCCCGCAAACTTCTAATTGAGTTGGCATTGGCAAGGATAATGATGGTATTGATGAAAAAAATAGTTCGTGATATTAATATAATATGAACAGCAAGTATTATGAAACATTTACTGCTTTAGCATCTAGACTTGGCATCGTTTACTTGGAAACGCACTTCGGCCGAAAGTAGACAAAAGCTGACCCCTTTAGGCCCCAGGAAAGGGCCCCTAATGTATCCACAGGCCAGGCCAGGAAAATTAAGTGTCTTGCCGACGACATTTGACCATTTTCATATCATGAGAAAGTTGTAAACCTTGAACTAATGTTTATACAAATTTGATCTCAGAGTGAATAGAACATACTACAATAATGGAGATATCCTGCAGCAGCAGCACTAATTGCTTCGAGTTCGCTCTAGAATATCTTCGCCGCTTGGATGATACCGGCACAGGGTACATTTATCTTGTCTGGAATCTGAAGATCGGACTGAGACTATTACAAAGCTTTGATCGGTATCTGACACTGTGGAGGAGGGGGAACCATGAAACCTGTTTGGAACAAGATGAGGAGGAGAAGGATGTTACGTCTTCCAGAATTCAAGATCTGATTATCAAGAGAATGCAAGATCTTGAATTTGTTTGCAGCGAATGCTCGGATCATTCGACTCGTGTTGGAAGTGAGCTCATCATATTCCTGAAGGCAATCAAGTTGTTTTTCGAAACAGTTATCAACGAATCGTGCATCAACTATCTGCTGGACTGTTACTGGCTGCCAGATCCAGAGCTCGTTATTGATTTCATCGATTCTGTTTCCGAGATTCTGGAGGAAATTAAAGAATCCCATTTCAAACGCCTTGACGAGCGGCTAATGTTCTTGAAGAGTTTCATTCGCTTTGCTATGCTTCGCGGTGTCGAGGGTCAGCAATTGATAGGTCTCTTGATTCATACTGAAGAGGTGTCTATGAAGGCATTTCGCCTGGCTTCTATATCGTGGTCTGACTGTTTCAGATATATAGTGCGGCGTGACTGTTCCGGACATAATCCTCCTCCTGAAGTAAAACCTCAAATTTCACGGCTAATAAGTGAGAAGATTAATCCCACTGAGCCCCAAGTGCTAGAAACTTACATCCATGTCTTGACTGCTTCAAAGTTATCAATATCATCAGACACTTCAGCTCTGGAGAAGAGTAAGCAAACAGTAGCTGACTTTATGGATCGTCTCGTTCAGACTACTATGGAGCTACTGCAACCTTGTACTAGTACTCCAGTCCCGATTATGGATCAAATGCTCGAAATTGTTGAGGGGCTAAGACTCCTGACAATCCTTCTCAGGCATCAGGAGAAGTTCAAAGAGCTATGCCATGAAATGAAGAATCTTATTGGAGTTGTGGCCTGTGATGCAGCGGTTGTAATTTTCTCTCTTTTTGTGAATCCAATCGAAGAAGGCTTGGCCAAGGAAACCGATCTTGCTCTTTTTCATTTGCTCAAAGTGCTCAAGCTTATGAGGGCAGAATTTACACAGGTCCATCCACTAACATCAGTATCGGGATTTGGTTTTCCTAGGATCTGTGAGTTGGGCTCTATGGATTTTCTCCTAAGAAATCTACAGGAACTAGCAAAGTCTGATGAAATTAATGGTTCGAATGCTTTTCCAGTGGATAAAATCCAGACTATCCAAGAAGATTTTGAATTTTTAAGATCTTTTCTGGAGAAAATTAAGGAGCAACGCAATCAGAACGAAAAACTTCAAGCTTTCTGGAGTCATGTTATGGAGATTGCATATAAAGCAGAGTTAGTGATTGACTGGACACTTGTTGGTGATGGATGTGAATATTTTTTGGATGATGTTGCTAGAGAAATCAATGTTATGAAGATTGAGGCTCAAGAGATCTATGACAGCATAAGCTATGTTGGTGAAACCATCAAGGGAGTTACCAAGACTTTCACTCGCGTTCCATCACAAGTTGCTGTCGCCGCGTACAATGAAGAGCTGGTGCCTCTCGACGACGAGGTGAAAACTATCACTGATGGTCTTACAAGAGAAGGATCAAGGCAGTTGGATGTGGTTCCCATCGTGGGTATGCCTGGTCTTGGTAAGACCACATTAGCCAATATAGTTTACAATTCTCCATCAGTAATGTTGCATTTCAATATTCGTGCTTGGTGCACTGTTTCTCAATCATATAGCATGCACAACATGTTAGTTCAGATATTGGGTGGTATTGAATCTGGGAAACTTGAACAATATCAAAAGATGGATGAACATGATTTGGCTGTAAAGCTAAAACAAGTTTTGTTGAGAAATAAGTATCTCTTGGTTTTGGATGATTTATGGGACGCTAAGGCTTGGAATTTGTTGGAGAGATCATTGCCCGATGACGCCAATGGAAGCAGGATTCTCATCACGAGCAGATTGCAGAATTTGTCTCTGCAATTCAAACCTGATAGCAAGGTTCACCATCTCCGCCGCCTTACCGACGAAGAGAGTTGGAATTTGCTACAGAAAAAGCTATTTGGCAAAAAAGGTTGTCCTCCAAGATTAAGTGGAGTTGCTTCTCAAATAGCAAAATCTTGTAGGGGCTTACCTCTCACAGTTGTCCTTGTTGCTGGAATTCTTGCTAATACTGCAGAAGACTGCTGGAAAGAAGTTACAAAGAGTCTAACTTCTAGTATTGTTCTTGATGATGAATACTGCATGAAGACACTTGAGCTGAGTTACACTCATTTACCGGATGATTTGAAGCCGTGCATTCTTTACTTTGGTGCATTTCAAGAAGACAAAAATGTTCCCGTCCGAAGGTTGTTTTGGCTCTGGATCTCTGAAGGATTTGTACGAAAGACCGAAGGAATGAGATTAGAGGATGTGGCAGATGACTACTTGAAGGATCTGGTTGATAGAAGTTTAGTTATAGTTTCCGAACAAAGAATTAAGGGTGGTGCCAAAGCCTGCCGAGTTCATGATTTGGTACATGAGTTTTGTGTGAAAAAAGCCCAAGAAGAAAACTTTCTACATATTTTGCATAGTCAGAATGATTGTTTTATTCTTACTAGCCCAAGCAACCCCCTTCGAGTTTGTGATCGAAGTGCTAGGAATTTGATGATTCGGGAGTCAATGCTAGAATTTCCCAATGCCCGCAGTTTGTTATGGTTTAAGGAGGATGATTTGGGGTTTTGGTTACCTAAACTTCTAAGAGTGTTGGATTTGGGGAAATTGGTGTTTGTTGAATGTTTTCCGATGGAAGTACTTCTGTTTGCTCACTTGAGATACTTGGCTCTTCGTCTTTACTTGATAGATTCTATCCCAGCTGCAATAGCAGACCTCTCAAGGTTACAAACTTTTCTGGTACGAGGAGAAAATGTCTCTGATTTATTGTTACCCAAGACTATCTGGAACATGAAGACATTGAGGCATCTATGGACTACAAATCCCGAAGTTGGTTTTATTTTTCCTGTTGAAAATCTTGAAGTATCCTCAGGTTTGGATCGTTTAGACAGTTTAAGCCTTGCCATTGACCCCTCCTCTCAAAGCTTGCAAAAGATACTGACAAAGTTACCAAACATCCGCAGGCTAAGATGTAAGAAGACGGCATCAAGAGAAGAACCTACCAGAGTTGGCGACGGGATTCTCATGTTTGACTGTTTGAATCAACTAGAATCACTTACTCTGCGTTACTTTGATAGGTACAGATTTAAATTCCCTTTGAATTTGAAGAAGTTGACACTCCGAATAACTAAACAGCCATGGAGTGAAATCTCAACAATTGGAAAGTTGCTCAAACTTGAAGTGCTTAAATTATGCCATAACTCCTTCGTTGGGGAAGCATGGGAAATGAAAGAAGAGGAGTTCCCTAAGCTCCGAGTCTTGAAATTGTCAAGGTTGTGCGGCTTTTGCAGCTGGACTTCATCTTCTGATAATTTTCCCCGTCTTGAGAAATTGATTGTGCACAATTGTTGGATGTTGGAAGAGGTGCCTTCTTGTTTAGGGCAATGTCCGACTCTTGAAATGATTGAGGTGAGTGGGTGTCGCGAGTCTGTTGTAAATTCAGTGAAGCAAATTCAACAAGAACAGATAGATATGGGAAATGAGATTCTAAAGATCTTAATTGAAGATTGCATTGATACATGGAGTTCCAGCGAAGACGAAGAAGGATGGTAAATCCCTCACAAGAAGTCTAATTCAAGTTTCTTGAAAGCAATTTCTGGAGAATCCCCCTTTTTTGTTGTTGACTAGATGCAGCTAGCCATAAAATGTCAATTCTTTTTTTCAATTCTGCTACAGATTGATATGATGCTTATAGTTAGCTAAGCACAAGTTTATACGCACGCAAGATACACTTTTCCTTCTTTGTATTTCGGTCAGAGTAGTACAGAAACTTTTTAATTGCTTCTCTTTTTCCTCAACAAAGAACCATACACTCAATTAATTAATATGTTGAAGCATCCCTTTTTTTTTATTGCAACAAATATTAAGAAGACACAAGAAAAAAAGGGAAAAGAAACTTGGTTATGTTGCTTTTTACCTTTGGAACTATTGTATATAAAAGAAGTTACATATTAAGTGGGAAGGAGTGCTTAAATTAGGGACTTGAGCTCCTCTCCATTTTCTACAATGTACATCTGGTGGATTAATTCAACCTAAAAAGATGATGTCCAAATCCCTTAAATTAGTAGGTGGTCGTCTTCCTGCATGCTCAAGTCAAGTCCCTTAAATTAGTTCTTTCTGTTTTCTTCTTTTTATTATTCTTGTTGTGTAATATTATATTTGTTGCACCTTGGTCCCTAGGGTGAAAAGACATACATCTTTTCATTATTTTTAAGTTCGTTGTTGGCACAAGAAGACAATTGATCCGTTTGGATAGTCTAATTTGGCGAAAAAAATTTGCAAATATCATCCTATTTACATCATAAACACAATTTTCAACAACTTTTTTTTTAATCTTATATATATCACATCACAAAAAATGTTATATAATATTTGAAATAATTTTTTCTCCAAATGATCTCTTATCCAAACACACTCATTAATATATTCAAATAGCGGAGCCTTTTTTTTTCCCATTTACCTTTTCTAAAGCCAACATCTTTACTAATCAAAGTATATTTTTAGGCAAAACTACTTTGTGCATTCCAACTTATCTTTTTTCGTTCATGATTTTTTTCATCTACGTTTTGGTGAAAATAATTAACACATTTTTATACTCCATTTTACTGAAATTTTTTATCACATAACAACAGAGAAAAATTTGAGCACGTGCATTGGAAAAAGAAGATATTACAGAAGCAACTTTTAGAAGATTACATAAAATAGGGACATTCAGTAATGTAATTATTGTTGTTTCTCGGATATAATTTTCTAAGGTGATATTTGAAAAAGGGTAAAAAGAACGAGTGATATTAAAGAAAAAAACAGGTGCAACTTTTTCAAAATTCATACAAAGAATAAACAAAAAAAATCACTTTACATCCTGAATGCATCATTACCACTTAATTCAATCTCTGAAGTTCAGTAGAACCATGAGCATTTTGGGATCCATGTGCATGAATTTCACTTGTGATGAGGCTTCCACATCTGATATTAACTTTGGCGACTTGATCTTCTTTGTGCACTTCCTTTGCTGGAGGGGGTTTCTGGAGAATTAAGCAAATACGGAAAACAGGGAGAATCAATAAAACCATAGAAGGGGGATGAAAACTACAACTGAATGCTTGAATCTAATTCCTACTGACTGTTTTTAGGCCTATTTCTACAGATTGGTAAAACCATATAATGCAATCAAAAACTTTTGGATTAAAGAAAAATAAAGATAGAAAAGATGAAAAATGGTATTGATTAATTTTTTTTATTTGTCGATGTGTCTTGATTGCTAAACTGAAAGCATTATATGGAAAGAAATTGGAAACGAATGGAATTTTAAGGGAGAAGGGGTCACTTGGTTAGTAAGATATATTAAGGATAGTAATTAATACAAATTCAATAACTTAAAAAGAGTTAACCACTTGGTTGGTCTAGTAGTCAGGGAGAACTTTTAAAATCTCTTCAGAAAAAATAAAAAGAATTCAAAATAGTTGTGGTTGTAATGACAGAAAACAAATTGATCCACTGGAGGGTGGGATTGGTTGGGTGGTACAGGGGAAAGTAATGTAAGTCATAGGTCTTGGGTTCGAGACCTCTCACTTACCAAAAAAAAAAAAATCCACCGATGATATATTCAATTAAAACTATCTTAACAACTTCTAATTGATTGGTTAGCATGATATTCTTAAAAAGCCAACCTTGAATTAAGACTATAATTTAAGGTTAATATAGTAAATTCACAATAAAGGTTAAAAAAGTCATTTTACACAAACTCCTACACTACACTACTGTTATACGAGGTGCAAATGAAAACTAAAGAAACAGGCAAACGTTAGAAGTTAGAACAAGACAACTCGAGGGATCAAATTAGCAATTGTACTTTTACCCCCAAGAAATTAACCCAGAGAGAGAATGTAAATAGTAAAACATATTTTTACTGTTCACTTTACCATTTACCTTTTTGTTCAACTCTTATAAACTAAAGCCCTTAACCTTAAATAGAGCTGTAAACGAGTCAAATTGAATCAAGTATTTTATATTTGAGCTCTGTTCGTTAAGCGATTCAAACAACGTTCGTGTTCGTTCGTTAATTTTCGAATTTCAAACTTGTGTTCGTGTTCGGCTAGTTAAGCAAAATTCATGTTCGAGTTCGGCTCGTTTAACATAAACAAGCTATTTGTGAACATGCTCGAAATGCCGAATCCAAATTATTTTAAACCTTAAATATGCCATACAAATCATTAATCATTCTAAAAAATAATTAAAGCACTAAGTGATTAAATTCTATTATTCATTAACTATATAACTAACATTAACATAAAAATAACAAATAAAACCCTCCAAATATAAAAATGTAGTCATAAAATTAACCCTAAAATTTATCAAATGATAATTATGTCTATATTCGCGAACGTTCATTAAAACTCGCAAACATATTCGTGTTCGCGAATGTTCGTTAAAACTCGCAAAGATGCTCGTGTTCATTTGATTATTAATCGAACAAAAAAATTCGTTCGAACTCGGTTCGTTTTAGGTTTCGAACGAGTCTTTCACGAACACGGACGTACCGAAATGAACTTGAGTTACCGAACAGTTGGTTCGTTTAACAACTCTAACCTTAAACCTCTCTTCTCAAACTCCATTGCCTAATTTCTGGTAAGTTGCCTTTCTATATCTTGGTTTACTTACTTTTTATGCATATTTGTGGCTCATCTTTGTCAATTTTTTTTCTTTTGTCTTTCTGGTTTTTTAGGCAGAAATTTAAAATCTTGTTGTGGGTATAATAGAATTGGAGGGAGAAATTTTGAATTTGTTTGCTAAAATTGATGACAAAAGTTGGTTTGTCTAGGATTTGCCTTTAGCTGAACAAAACCTTAGCATTGCTTATGGTGGGAAATTTATCAATTTTGTTGGCTCTTTTCTTGGGATGTGTTTTTTTCGATTTTAAGGTTCTTTTTTTTTGGGAAAATTAAAGGTGTAAATTCATTTCTTTTCTCGCTGAATAATTTGGATTTGATTATGTGAGATAACTAAGATGGGAAAGGAAACAAAATTCACCTATGTGAAGTTCTGACTTCCGTGCAGTATTTAGTAAATGATGCTTTCGGAATTATGCTTGTGGGAATTGGTTTTTTTATTTCTACAGGTTTTATTTTTTTTTATCTTTTTTTGTTCTGAAGGATTTTGGTGTGTAATTTATCAGATTACCCAATTTAATTAACGACCCGTTAAGGATGTTTCAAAATACCCTCTTTTGTCGGTCAATTAGGAATCATGTTCGATTTTCTTGGTGGCGCCGCAGCGGCGCTCCTTAATTGAAAGTGAAAAATAGGTTTAGGTATTAAATTGGACAAAATTAAAAGATAGGGACCAAATGGACACTAGCAAAAAAGGTTAGGGACTAAATTAGCGATTTTCCTTTTTTTTTTGGCCTGTTTTTTCCTGGCCTGATCTTCAGATGACTTGTGTTTCCTCTCGGGCCACAGTTTCTCTCGGCTCTTGCTTGTCAATAGTTTTTAGCAGACTGACAGCTACCGAGATTACAGTCCCATCAGCCGGTATCTTGCACGCGGCAGTAGCACCCCTGCGGACAGTAGGTAAGATTAAATTCATGTCCCAAATTCTGCCCCAGCTTAATTTTTAACCCAGTCAGTTCTTAATTGTGGCCTAAATTCAAAATTTTGATGGAGTCGCTAGTAAGTTTACTGAGATAATTTTCTTTAATTTATTCTTAGTTCCTTCCGTGTTGTTTGTGAGAAATTTATTTGCTTTTTTTCTTTATATGCTTAGGGGAACGAAGATTGTTATATTTGGCAATCTATGATGGAAGAACTGCAGCAGAGGGGTGTCAAAAGGAGGAAGGAATGGAAGAAAAGGAGTTCTAAAAAATCCAAAAACAAGAAAAATGTGAGAACTTTAGGGCCTGGTTCAGAAGATGGGAGGGTTAAGAAAATGGATAAAAAGATGAAAAAGTTTCTTCAGAAAAAGGCTAGAAGCTATAATTCAGATGATGATGAGGTGGAAGAAGAAGACTGGAATTTGAAGGGGGGAGAAGAGCAGTCAGGAGTAGTGAAAAATGAGGTAAAAGGTGGGTTTGAGTCGAAATTTTCGGATAGTGAGGAAGAAGGAGAAGAGAATGGTGAAGAGAAAATTGAGGTTTCGGAGGATGAAGATGGTGAAATTCAGCCAGGAGTAATGAGATTTTCAGAGGGTTGTAAGGCTTTTAGGTTGGCATTCAAGAAGATTACCAAGAAAACTGCTTCAACCGATCATGATGTACTGGTGAGTATGCTTAACAAATTCTTGACTTCTGCTATTGATCATGTTTGGAGATTATTTTTGTAACTGTGATTGAATTTGATTAGGGGCGCTTCTTCTTTTTGGTAGGGTCCTGTGTTATCAGCACATAAAAAACTTGTTGCCGAGAAGCTAGCTGAAGAAGAAGCAGAGAGAAAGGTTAAGGGTGAGGCAAAGAAGGAAAAACACCTGGTATATTGATGAATTTGTTTAGTTATTTTGTTATTTTCATTGTTGCCGTTTTGATAAAAAATTTTATTTTCATGTTTAGGTTCAAGTAGCGGAATTTAGAAAATGTAATTTCATTGAGTTTTACATGAGTGAAGTTTAGCCTTAACGGTCAAATTAGTGCAAATTTTGCCTTTTCCATTATAATTAGTTCTCACGTGATTTGGTTTTCTTTGCATCAAAAGGTTGGAGAGAAGGGGCATGTGAAGGCTGCTAATTATTTGGATTCACATGAAAAGCATCTCATTGGAGTTGCTACTAGAGGAGGTATTCCTGACTTTATTGATAATGGAATAATTGTTCTGCAAGGAAAATAAAGGTCTATTTTTTAACTGATGAAGCTTCTGTGTTTCACGTGTCTTGCTGTGCTTTCCAGTGGTCATAATTATTTAATGCTGTAAGTGGCTTCTCCAAACCTATTATTTTCAGATTTTGTTTCCAACTAAATATGACTGGTAGTTTCTTTTTATTCTAGTTTTTGTGGTTTATGTAGATGAACTTTGTGGTACTTAAAATGATTATTTATATGGCATACAGGTCAATAAGGCACAACACTCACAGAGAGGACTGAATCCCTCAAGGTTGAAAGATGAAAATGGTAGGACTGAATCAATTCAACATTTCAAACTTTGATGTATTATTTTTTAACAACAAGGTTCTTGCTTCAAGTACATGGTATTTATTCCTATTATCTTTTCCCTTAGCTTCTGTTCTCACAACAATCTAATTTTGAAGCCAAATATTTTTCTTTGACTTGATATTCATCAATACCTTCTCTTTTACTTTTTGAATTTGTATTCAGACTTTGAGGCTTTAGTTACTTGGTTCGAAATGTCTATCAAAAGCTTTCTCTTGCTCCAAAAAATGCATTATAATGGGGATCCTCAACCAAGAAATTAACATAACTTCCTTATTTACAGTCACTAGAACGTATATGTGCTGGGTTTGAGATTTTCTAGTATTACTGCTGCTTGTATCACAGTAGACAACCTGAGGTAATCAATTATAATTAATTTTGTACACAGGTTCGTGTTAGTCAGTTGCTCTCTTTAAGATGAATTCCTCTGTCCCTTTCAGTGTGTGGTTAGAAGAGTGCTAACAATATTAGGGAGCAAAACTTCCTTCCCAGGAGTATTATGGTGCTTCATTACTAATTCACGCCTTCAATCCTTACTCTGTTTTTTATCCTTAAGTTGTATGGGGTGCAATTTCAAGCTGGTTTAATTTTAGAATGTTTTCACCTCGAAATTTTAATGGCGAATTGCTCTGGATCATGCCATGATCCCTGAATTGTTAAGCAGTAGTCATGAACTTGTCTGATGACATGTTACTTCATGAATTTCTTTCTGCATGAGTTTTTTGGAGTTTCATCTTGGGATGTGGATGGAATTTGTGCAAAGCGTCATCATTGTATAAAAGAATTTCGTTTAAGATATAAAACCACAATTAACAAGGATAATTGATAGTTAACCTTCTATTGCCAGTGAAATAATGTACCTTGTTTTTTCATTTCACAATGTAGTAGTTATTACAGAATGTGTTGCTATGAAACTTTATCTTGGGTTGGATATTGACAGTAGTAGCAAAGGGTTGTTTGTGTTAAAGTTTTATGCTATGCTAAGAACTAAATATAGGAGTGTGAGATTGTGTGTCAAATTTATCTCCAATCAAATAAAAAGAAATTGAGACTTTTACTGGAGAAAGCTATAGGTGACGAATCTCAGCATTTGATGCTTTTCTGAGTAGTTAATTTAGGCTATAACTGGTTGTCTATTCTTTTTTTTCATTTTTGGTGATCAGTGATATCCTGGTTTACATATTGACCATTGATGTCTGCAAATATAAGAAACCATTATTAAGATGATGCTGGTTAAATCCCATTAGATAAGTTGGATAACAACAGGTTGCAGTCAAAAGGTAAGGAATTACATGAAATTAGGATGAAAGATTTGGTTTTGATCAGATTCCAGTCCATAGTTAAGACTTAAGACGTATATGCAGATTCTTAGCCAGCTGTTGTAATTGGGAATCCTCAAGAGGATGAAGCTTCAAATCATTGAGAACTGATACAGGTTTTCTATTAGATTAGATTACAGATGAGAGAGTTTTAGATAAGTAGAAAGCATGTGAAGAAAAACGATAATTAGTCAAATGCTTTAGGACTTTAGTAATTTAAAATAAAAAGAAATAATAAGCTATTTAGATTAAAATTCCATTTAGTGGTCAGGCTTAAAAGTTTTCTTGTTGAGCTACGTAAATCAGTTTAATTTTGTTCTTTATCATAAATTGCATCTTCTTTGACAACATCTTCTTTGGTGGAAATATTTTTGATGGCGGAGATTCTTCTGATGGTACAAAGTCTACGTAAAACTCGAATTGCATGGACAAGTGTCATACGAGCCAAGGGAGTGGATGGAAGTTTACTGAGATCTGGACCGGAAGGAAGGAATTGAATTACATGAGGATGTTAGCCATTAGGATTAGAAGATACAGATTACTTTTTTTAAGTTCTTCTCTAGAGATATAACTTACCTATTTAATTTCTTAGAGCCTTCAGATGTAGTTAACACTAATCAGTTTTAAATACTATAACTTGTTTTTGTCTAAGAACTTGATGATTTGCAAAGAACAGCCCAATTCAAGGTTTTCTCCTGGTTTTCCTAAACCTGTGTGTGATCATGAAGACTATGTACTTGCCCACTTCTACTTGCCTTATAATACAAGTCTTCTGAACTAGTATTAGTTGCAGATCATTGTGCCTAAATTGGAAAGCAGCAAATTTCCATAGTTGGAACTTGAGATGTCATATGAAGATACTTTGTAGTTTAAATATGATGTTGGTCTCTTTTTATCTAGCTTGTAGTGCATGGGATAACCAGAGAACTGTGTGTGTGTGTGTGTGTGTGTGAGTGTGAGAGAGAGAGTATATTTATCGACCTTCAAAATTACAAATGTTCACTCTGCCGAAACTTGCTCTCACACTGCCTCCTCTGTAATATTAGGCAGAGCTACTTCAAGTGGTTGTATTGCAACTGAAAAGTGTGGTCTTCTGATTAGTCATTTTTCAATCAGTTTTAGAAAGAAACAAGTAGGTTTTTGATTGTCTAGTTAAGGGGATTTATTTGTAATTCTCCCTGAGCTGCAAAAGTACATTGACATGATATTTCAACTCAAATTTAAGCTAATACATGTCCTTTATGCTGTGATTATGAAATGGTGACCTCATGTCAACCTTTATTAGGAATTGTTTTAGCATGAAAGTTAGGAAATGAAAATTTCATTTCAGCTGGGAGGTGGTGATCTCCATCTCATTTGTGCACTTAAAATAGTAATCATAAAGTACATCTCACTGCTTATGGCCCTCCAAGCATACATGAATTTAGCTGGTAAAGTACAAGTTGCATCTATTGAGTATCCCTTTGGGAGCTGAGGTTATAATCAGTTTGATCAGTTTTAATTTGTCTTTCTTGGCTGGTAAAGTACATAGTTGCATCTATTTTCCCTGAGGTTATAATCAGTTTTATTAGGTTTAATTTGTCTTTCTTTTTAATCTCTGCACCAACGTTTAAGAGCAACTTTATAAAATTTCTCATTTTTTTTAACATCGAGTGATATGGATATTTTTGCTGTTATCTTAAACCTGCAGTAATTAAGAAGCGGAGGAAAGAGGCTTTTTTCTCAGTCTTGGGCCGGACCCCTTCCCAAAAAACCGGGAGCATAGAAAAGGTCAATCTCTACATGTTTGTTCCTAGTCGTGGTGTTTGAACTAAATTGCTTTCTGTTTCTACCTTTTTTTTTCCTTTGTGCATGACATATTTTGGATTTCATCAATTTTTTTGCCCTTTTAAATTCTTAATAAGGCAGTCAATTAATTTGCTATACTATGTGTAGATTGGTGCATCTGCTGGCACTGGTTCTGTTGATGCTCCTGCATGGGCGCCATTGCGTGATAATTACATGTTAACAAACTCTAAGTTGAAGGACTGGGATAAGATGCCAGTGAGAATCCCTCGAAATCATTCCTTTTTCTGGAGTGTTAGATAGCCATTCTGTAACGCAACATCCCATCTCATTTGCTTGTCGAAATTCTGCCTTTCTTGCCGATGCAGGACACAGCTGTTGTAGATGACTTTGGGTTGCGACCAGATGCAGATAGTTCATCTGATGATTAGTAAATGTCAGGATAAATTACAGTCGACTTGCAATGCTTGGATGCAGCCAACTGGATGGAGCTGGAGATGATCTAAACAGAAGCAAGAAGTTGAGACCTGTCCTCTTCATTCCAAAAGCCATTGCCTATTCTTATAATTAGAGATGAGACATCATAGAGAGATTCTAACCTTGATTTCATACTCCATTTTCAAGACTCGGACAGTGTTGGGTTTAAAGAGTACCAGCTCATTCATAATTCAATTTTCACCAAAAAAAAAAAAAAGAAAAGAAAAGAAAAAGAAAAGGCAGTGTTAAAGAACCATGTCATCAGAATCCCCATCTATCTCACATGATTATGTTAGGATCAACATTGTACCTGTGAATAGTCTCATCGCCCACAAACATCATGTAAGAAACAAATATCATCATTACATAGGACTTCATTGTCCAATGTACAATCAATTAAAAGGAAAAGGAAAAATCGTTTAAAATGTCCTATATATTTTATAAAATAATTTTTTTCGTCTCTCACTTTTAAAGATGTAATTTTACGTCTCCTATGAATTCATATTGATCAAATTTGATTCCTATCTAGATTTCTAAGTAGGTTTTGGGTGGAATTTACTCTGTATCTTGCTCGTGATTATTTTTTAGGGATAAATTTGTCAAATCATATTTTATGTAATCTAATCCATAGTCTCTAATATTTTGCAAAATGAATTTTTTCATCCTTCACATTTCATAAAAATGAATTTTTCCATTCTTTACATTTCATGAAATGAATTTTTTCATCTCTCATTGATCATATGTACGAATAATTTTTTTTTTTTTTAAAACTCATGTATATGTCTATCTGATTTCACCTACAACTACAATTAGCTTGTTCAGATAACATTGAATAGAGATATATTACATGCTATTCACACCGTTCAGGTGAAATCAAATAGATATACGCATAAATTTTGAAAAATAAGAAAAAATTATTTGTACACATGATCAATGAGAGATAAAAAAAAATTATTTTGTGAAATTTGAGGGACGAAAAAATTCATCTTATAAATTGTGAGGGACTATGAATCGGATTATGTGAAATGTGATCTGACAATTTTGGCCCTAAAATATGATCACGTGCAAGGCTCGTGGTGAATTCCAGTCAAGAACTAGTCAAAAATCTAAACAGGAACCAAATTTTATCAATGTGAATTTATAAGAGACATAAAATTATACTTTTAAAAATCAAAAATCTAAACAGGAACCAAATTTTATCAATGTGAATTTATAAGAGACATAAAATTATACTTTTAAAAATAAGGTACAAAAAAGTCATTTTACAAAATATCAGAGAAATTGCTCCATGATTAAGCATGAAATTTCTACAAAAGCACAAGACCAAAAGAAATCAATTTTAATTGTAGTTTGTATTAGGATTTTTTTTACACGGAAAATGTAGCGTGATAAGTATTGCCAATTTTTTTGTTTTCTAGATCAGCTAAATTTCTTTTAAATTAACGTGTTTTACAAAGCCAATCTTGTGTCAAAGGTGCAGCTTTTGACTATTTGATTGAGAATTTGATTGCAAGTACTCAATCAAATTGAAGGAATTATTTCTAGAATTAACTTTTTATGAACTAATAGTGTAGTATTTTTTTTATATTTGCAAATTTTTATATATGTCACACGTGCATGATTTGAATTTTAAATTTAAATTCATATTATATGGCATGATTTTAACCTATTAGTGTAAAAATAAAATTTGTATACTAACAATGTATAAAAAAAAGCTATCCTTATCTCTAAAAGTTTAATTGGTATATTTATATGGGTGGGGTACCCATGCTCGCCAATTCTCAAATTTATGATATGTTTGCATGCATGCAATATCTACTTCTAACCTCAATCCATTGATATTAGATACTGAAAGTGGATTTCATATTTGTTTAAATATGTAAGAATTAAAGAAAAGTAGGTGGTACCAAAACTCTAAGCTTCACTCACTTGAACCCAATGCAATAAGAACATATGAAATCATAATGAAATGAAAGTATTAAGCTTGAAGAGGCACTCGAAATTTGAGAAGCAAACTGTGTTTTAAATAGAGAAATGTTATTTGCATTATTTCATAAGGGCTCGTGATTGGATAACTTCCTTTACTACTTTCTATGAATTGTGCATGTTTTATTTTCATTTATTTCAAATTTTGTGATATGTAATTTGTGTTTTATTATAAATGAGTAGGAAAATATCGAGATTAATAGCTTAACCAGGCAATCAATTTACTAAAAAGGAAAATATCGAGATTAATAACTTAACCATTCTTTGTCTCTATTAATCTCCCGAGCCAAAGTTTCTTGCTTCCAACAAGATCAAGATTCACCTTATTAACAGCTCTAGGTTAGTAAAATGACTTGAAAAAAAAAAATCAAAAGATTATTAGTGTTTAAGCACGAAATTGTTTTGGTGACTCTATACACCTAGAATGCAAAGTTGAGGGGACATTTTGAGGTTTTTGATAGGCTTTTTCCTATGGTATCTTAAATATTGCATCAAAAGTCCCATTTAAGACTTTTTTCTTTTTTTATTTCTATTTATTCATTAGTTTCTTCCTTTTATATTTTATTTTATGACAGGATAGAGCTCATGTAGAAAGTATTAATTGATTTCTTGAAGCAAGAATTGGGTTAATACAAATTAATAAATTGGAATAACTTCGTGACTATACATTCGATATAGAAATAGAATGAAATTTTGTTGGGGCTAAATCAAACTTTTTTGGCCCAATGTGTTTTTGTCCACAGGACGCCAGGAGGAAATTCCAGTAACTGGTATGTTGTTGCCATTTTGAAAGGATTAAGGACTGAAGAAATGTATAAAGTCTAAACCCAATGATGGGTAAGGATCCCAGAAAAGCACCATCTTAATTGTCTCAATAACTAAGCCCCACTTAGGATCTAAAGATAAGAAACAAAATTTTAAAGGAGACGAATAAGGGGGTAAAGACCATCTGAATTTTGTAAATGAAACAAAACCAAAATTACAAAATCCATTTTTATCTTATTTGAATGACTTTCCTGCATGACAATTGATGAGTTTTGATCAATTGAAACTAGATGTGTCAAAATCGGTAACTTGGATGGATTTGGATTGGTTAAAATAAGTAATGGATATAAGTGAGAATCCATTTATGCCCATTTAATTATATGAGTATAAATGTGTATGTTAAAAAATGAATTGGGTAACCCAATTACCCATTTATAACCATTTATTTTAATTTTTTTATAAACTCATTTGAATTCATTTTTGCAAGCTAAGTTATCAATTTATATCACCCTTTACACCCGTCATTAGTTTTAAATATTTTATCAATTTATATCAACCTTTACACCTATAATTAGTTTTAAATATTTACTTATAATGCTCAATAAGAGTGGGAGAAGACTATTCTAAATGGATTAATTAGATTTGATAGGTTACCCAATAATACCCATATGCAAAAACTTAAGATACACATACCCATCTCTACTCATGAACGGACATAGATAAATTTAACTAAATAGATTTGTTTGCCACCTATACCATTTAGCAATCATATAATGATGAACAATGGCTTTAGCAGCAAAAATGTAAGGTGCTCTGCATACACCTTGTGGCACTCATAAAGCATGCAATACCTTCTCAAGATCCACGATCCACTTCTATCTGCAAGAATTTTAAATGGCCAAGGCGGACCCGTGGCAATGCCACTTACTGCTTCAAAAGCAATCATATTTCACCGAACAAATTATCCGCATAGTACTTTTTAAATAATTAAAATTTGGCTACCCAATTACCTGGATCTATCAATGGGAAAGTAGCCAGGCAAAACCAGCGGGTTGTCAGCTAGAGTTCGTTCATGAGCTAATAGAGGGAGGGGGGGGGTGCAAGACAGATCACTTGCAGCTCTGGTTTAATGCAGATGATGTGGAGCACATAACTAGCATTCCTCTTAGCCTTTATGACAGGAAAGACAGATTATATTGGAAGCATAGCAAGTCTGGGGTTTATAAAGTTAAAACAGGTTATGTGGTTGCAAAGGGGGGATGGGACACCATGAACCGCAGGTCAACACCTGACTCTGAGACTAGCTGGGAAATTAGGAAGCATACGGTGTGGAAAAGATTGTGGAGTTTAAATATTAAGATGAAACTGAAGCACTTTTTATGGAGGTGTTTGCAAAATGGGCTGGCTACTAGTGAAGAACTCTATCAGAGAGTTGGAAAGGGAAGCAATCTTTGTCATTGCTGTGGAGAGGCTACTGAAACCATTGAACACATGTTCATTTTTTGCCCAAAAGCTCGAGTGGTTTGGAGGCTAGCTCCTGTGAGATGGGAAGGGATAGTTGAGCTGCAAGGCAACATATGGAGATGATGGGATGCTGTGATGGAATCAGCAAAGGTGGTGCAAGGAGTGGATCGTGTCAAGCTCACAGCGAATATTCTTTGGCAGCTCTGGAAAGCGAGGAACAAGATGGTATTCCAGATGGAGAGTGTGGATGCAAAAATGATAATCGACAAAGCTCAGCAGGAGTGGATCGAATATGACGCGACAAATGACACAGACTCCCGACCAACTGCATCATCAGAGAGGGAAAGACTGGTTCAGCATGCTTGGGAGCCACCCAAGGAGGGAGTCATGAGGATTAATACGGATGCAGCAATCTCAGCTAAAATGGTCAGGACCGGACTAGGGGTAGTTGCAAGGAACTGGCGTGGGGAACTAGTGAAAGCTCGAGGAATCGGTGGAAGGAGAAGAGGGGAAGCCGCCACAGAGGAATCATTAGCGATCAAAAGTGCGCTGGAAATGGTTCAAGTTGCAGGTTGGACAAATATAGAAGTCCAGTCTAACTGCAAAAATGTAGTGAGCTCTATTAATGCGGGTAATGTTCAGTATTGTAAGATACAAACAATCCTAGAAGACATTGAGACCCTAAAGAATAGCTTTGACAGCTGCCTAGTCTCTTTTGGCCCCAGAATTGCGAATGGCTGTAGTCATGCAATGGCTCAATTTGCAGCCAAGTCAATTAGAAACATTGATTGGGAAACCTCATTCCCAACGTGGCTAGCAGACTTAGCTAGGAAAGATATGGGAGTAGTTACCCTTTTTGTAATTAACTCTTGTTTTTTCAAGTGTTAATATCTATAAAATGTTATCGTTTGTTAAAAAAAAAATAATTAATAAAATATTTTTATCCATTGAACTATTAAATATGTAAATTTTAACCATTCCATCTAATTTCACCGTTAACTTTAACAGACCTAAAAAATCACATAATTTGTGAGATATAC